TCTTTTAAAACGTTCGTTATCTTAAAGAGCTTTTTTCTAGAATTTGGCTGGTTTTATTCAATCAAACATATATGTAGGTACAGCCGAACTATGCTCTAAAATCATTTTTTCCTCTTTGAATTTAAAATTACTGAAAAATGAAACTTTCGCAAAATCAGTTCGGCTTATGTAATTGAAGGCATATCGTGCTCAGTAAAATGCTTCTTAAAATGATTGCTAAAAAAGGAAATTCAGAGGATTGAAAAATGATTTCTATTGTCACTAAAGGCTTTAATACATTTTTATGCTTTATATAAATAGCTCTTGGCTGCTGTGAAAGTACATTCCCTGTCCTTAACAGGCAAAACTTGTGTGCTTCCTCGTAACCTGTTTATATCTTATCACCTTAGACAATATGTAAATCGAATGATTTGTACAGATAAAAATTTATCATATATTGTTATATTTTTGATTTATATACAAATTAAAGAATACATCCCCTGATTTTTTTTTTCTTTAGCGGTTTTGTGAAATATCTATATGGAATAAAGTTAAATACAGATAACTTATAATGTAAGCATAGAATTATGATTTAAAGTATAACTTATTGCATCCAACACAAAATATGCAAACACGTTTTGATAATGTAATTTCATTGCATCTGTTTTAGTCAATTATGCAGGAAATTTTTAAAAATCGCTTACTAAATTGGAATGAGTAAAATATATTTTTTTTAAAACTCATATATAAGGGAAGTATAGTTTATTAAAGAAAACAGGATCAAAATGAGACAGCGGTTAAAAAATTAGAAGTCTTTTATTAATTGCTATTCATGCATATTTGACAAAAACGGAGTATATTGTTTAAATTTTTACATAACTGTGTGAATGGGCCCGTTGGAATGCATAAAAGCATTATCGAAGTAGCCATTAAAGAAGATCCTTTACATATTTGATATAGTAAAATAGAAGGAAATGGAGTGGAAATTTTAAATGCATATTTTAGTTTTTTAATTTTATAAAATAACTTTAAACTCATTTTTATTATTTTTTTTATGACTTTACCCATTGATTATATTTATACATGACTTTCATCTAAAACAAAAGTCATGTGGAAAATTATGAAAAATTTTAATGATTTTCTGGGTTTTTTTTAAGAAAAATGATTGATTGATATTGTTTAACGCCGAGTCGGCAATATTTCAGCCATATATCGACGGTTTTTTTTAAGAAAAAGAAAAATAAACGATATAGATTTTTGAGAAGATAGTGTTGAAAAACATTTTTCATTATATATAAAAATTTATGTACTTTGTGTTTATTACAAAGCACATAAAACTTAATAAATCAATAATCGACTTCCGGTCATCAGCTATACAGTTTTAATTATTTTCATTAAAAGTGCTCCTTGTGAAATTTATTTTTCCAGTATACATGAACTTCCATAGTGGCAGATATTTATATTTACTCCATGTATAATTTAAGACTTCCAATATAATCGGAAAACCTTTGTGAGACTTTTATTATGCCTAATGATGGTGTACACCTCATTCAAATCAAATGATGGAGAAAAACCTGCGAAAACGTTTTGGTTACTTTTTCTGCGAATAACACAAAGATTTTCATCAATTGAACGTATGAAGATAACATGACTTTAATTTAAGTATAATTGAAATTATCAGTAGCTTAGGTACGTTTTAAGGTACATGTAAGATGTATACATGTATGTCCATAATTGTACTAAAATGTGTATAGTTTTTAAAATGGAAATAAAAGTCTTTAGGAAAAGAAAAGATGAAAATTAAAGAATGTGGATTAATCAGTCAAAACTTGCATACGGCTCATTGAATTCATTGGCATATTTTGTGTTTTAATAGAATGTACAAACATAATGTACAAAATGTTATGTAATTATATTTCTAAAGAGTCATTGTAAAGTTAGGCAAAAAATAATGTTTCTTTTAGAATTATTTCCCATAAGATAATTTAATTCATAAAATATCTTTGGTGTCTAAAAATAATTTTTTTTTTCATTTTAATTTCAATCTATCTTACCTTGCCGTGTACTTGGCTACAGTTTAAAATGGTCCTTGTTCGAGCTATGACAGCGTAAACAATTTATCTAATGTGCGCAACCTTATTTATACATCACAGTAATGTGGCTTTCAAAAGAAATCATAAAGCTCTGATTCGAACATGTTTATATTAATTCAGAAACTCTGAAATATTTTCGACTTATCAATAAAATCAAAATAAGTAAGGCGACTTGGCAATTTAAAAATAAATAGAAAATATGTGAGGAAGACAATAGCAGTTACATAACTTATTCGAATGTGGTCAATTATATGGTATATTAATGTGTATATAGCAGAGAGATGTAAAGTTAGCGCTACTAGTAGCTGGCTATGACATGTGAGTTAAGCTAGCTACTAGCAACTGGCTCTAGTAACTGACTAAAAATGTGAGTAAAGCTAGCTACTAGCAACTGGCTACGATATGACTTATTTATGTTGTGACTTCATAATAAAACTTTATAAACTTACAGAATTCTTCATCCAAACGCATTGAGTTATTGCATTATAAAGAGCTACGAGGCACCTGGTCCCACCTCTAAGATTTTCAGGGGTCCGTGTTTTATGCCCTCTTTACAAATTTATCAATTTATAGTGTTTATAGTTGTTTTTTTTTTTAGTTCGATCATAATTCGTTATCTCCAACTTTTTTTCATTCAAGCATTTTGTGTTAGTCTGTACAAAAAAAGAAGAATTGTCTACCAGCTTGAAAACTTGTCTTGAATAAAGTAATTAGAGTATTGTGATTGAGGCCCTTGAGCCAAGACAACTTCCGTTAAAAATACATAAACTTTAGAGCTGATTTATTGACTTTATCTTTCATCTGGATATATTGTAATAGGGCGTCAAACAGGTTTAGGATCAATTTTTACGTGATGGAAAACTGGGTGGAAAGCTACAGTACATGTAGTCAGCCAAATATCGTGCAAGCAAAATTCATCGGAATATGATACTTGTGTTATAACAAAAATGCATGGAAAAAGACATGATTGTATTTCTCGATTAAAACATTGACGATTTTACTTCTTTTACATTTTAGTTGAATCGATGAAACGGTATTAGATAAAATCTTTATTTTGTCCTGTCTGTCCGTCTTTCTGTCTGTCAGTCAATCTGTTTGTTTTCCGTACATTTCTTCCAAGATACACACGTAGGTATGTGCGTTTACCATGTCTACTTAAATGAGTTACAGATCAAGTTTCCATTTCGTTGAATTGCTTTTAGTCAGGCAAACTTTTTGGACAGCTGTTACTTGTAAAGTTCAAGATCCTGTCTATGACGGTAAGAGCTTTGACATACAGGAATGATATTTCAGATTCTTGATTTTTTCAAAGGCTGCAAGATATAGACAAAACATTTCGAAAATTTTCTTTTCACATTCTTTCTCTTCTATTTTGTAAAAAAAATCACTTTAAAACGCATTTCATTTTCTTATAACCATGACTTATTATCAAGTTTTATTTTCCTTTTCTTTAGATATCATTTTTTTTTTGCCATACTATTTCTATTAAATATTCATTGTTTATCCTTATTTCCAGCTCAGAAACATGAAAAAATGAAATAAATCCTTTCCAGACGCATGGAATAAAAGTTGTAGCAATTTTGATATTTTTTTTTATTTTGCTTGTATATAAAATGTAACATAAGGAGTAATTAATCATTAATGAGGAACATATATGTTTGTAATTGATATCATCTTTGGGGTTTGTAAAGGTATCTCTCTCAATTTAATTTTTCATTCTTTTTTTCACTTTAAAGTGTGTGTGTTCTTTATTTTTGTTTTCTTGTACACTGTATCTTTCCAAAAGAAAAACTATTAATATTTGTTGTAGAAAAATGGACTGTTTTGCGGTTATACTGCTTAGTTTTTACAGCTGTTTAATGTGGACCAATGCATGGAATCAATATAAGGGTAATTACTTCTACGGTATCCTAAAGTAACATTTGTAATAAATTATCAATATCTTTACATAATCCTCAATAAAAGCAAATACTTGACATTAATTATTAGACAGATCTAGGGCGATTCTGGAAAACCTGAAATTCAATACAAATTTTAATCAGACAAAAAAAGACTTTTTTGTAGAAATGAGATAAATAACATAATAAAAAAAGAGCTTTTGTTTGATTCTCAATGCTTTGACTGAACGATGATTTTTTATTTAAGTTTATTGAACATTGATAAAAAAATATAAAGATAACTTGTTTGTTTTCCCCTTATTTATGTAGCAGTATACCATTATCATGGACTTTATTTGTCACAGTTAATTTAATACACATAAGCACGTTCTATGTACAAACAAATTTTAAAATGCGGCAGTCACTGAGAAATAAAATCGTGACAAAAAGATTTAAACAATCTCTTTTTTAAGTCAATATTTCGGAAATTCTATTGTCGATACAATTGCCTTGTTTGCAAAAAAGTCTTTTTTATTTGACTACGGAATAGTCCGTCTATCTAATCAATACTTAGCTCTCACGGCGGATGTGACCTGTCGACAGGGGATGCTTACTCCTCCTTAACACCTGATCCCGTCTCTGGAATTTCTCAGGGTCTCTGTTTATGCCCATTGTATAGATTTGTGTTGTTCTGATTGTACACACAAGTACTCTAAACTTGATATTAAAAAGATGCTTGAATTTCTGATTGACAATATCTATGTAGTGTTAGGAGATCAGGTCTTCCAACAATATGTTGGAATTCCCATGGGTACCAATTGCGCCCCTTATTAGCAGACCTATTTTTGTATTCATATGAAGCAGAATTTATTTGGAAACATCTACATTAGAAGAATAAAACACTTGCTGTGGCCTTCAACTTTACATTTCGTTATATCGACAACCTCTTATCAATTAACAATAGTTACTTTCATATGTCGACTCGATATATCCCATTGAGCTTGAAATAAAGGATTTTTTTTTCATTCTTCCTGATTATGACAAAGAACACATGGCTAGTGAGACTAATCAATAGAAGATGCTTACTCCCCTATGGCTCTTAATCCCACCTCTGTTTTCAAAAGTTCATGTTAGCTCTTTCCTGATTTTTAAATTTGACTTTTGAGCATGAAATCTGTTTATTATCTTCACATTTCATACTAGTTTAATGTGATTCTATACATTGAGAAATCTTCAATTCTAAATCGGTTCAGGTAAATTTAAAAAACAAAAAACTATAGTTATTTTGAATTTTTATCGAGTTGATATTATACCTTTAAGTTTGTTGTTATACTTACAAAAGTTATTCCGCAAACATTAATATAAATTTGAACCAATAAAAATATCTTTGCGTATTCTTATAATAGTTTTTCCCCACAGGTATCTGTACACTTCCTCAAACTGGATTTGTCCCAAGGGATTGTAGCGACATTCATAAGATTTCGCCAAATGGACCAAGTGGTGTTTACCGGATTTATCCAGTAGGAGGTCAAGGTTACCAAGTTTTCTGTGACATGAAGTTGGATGGAGGAGGATGGACGGTATGTCCTTACATTTCAAAAATTTTGAATTAAGGGGTATTTTATATATTGAAAACAATGTTGCAATTCTTGTGATTTTATACTCCAAATTGTTGCAGTTTTGAAGACAGAAATCATATTTAATGGATTTGTGCCAAATGTAGAGCTATGCACAAAATCACACAACACATTATCTGTATGATAAAGTCAACCAGTGATATAAAATACAATGCAATAAAATATAATATGATGTAATAAAATAATTTTTTTTGCTAAGTTATGGGTCCCTGGGAGCAGAATACAATTGAAATATCAAATAGCGCCTTCATTTATTTATTCAGTGATTTTAAAACACAACTTTGTTCCAACAATTCTATAAAAAAAAAATAATCCTTGTTGAAACAAAGTCATGATAGATTAATGTAATTTTTTTTTTCCACGTGGCGCAGTGGTTAGATCGTTTGCTCTAGAGTCTCGGCGTAAGAAGGCGATCATTACGTCGCGGGATCGAATCCAATGTGCGACGTGAAGACCCGTTCTTCGGATGAAACCGTATAATCGAGGTCCCATAATCGTAGAAGGTGTTGGCACGAAAAAAGATCCTTCATTACTCACAGATAGCCGAGTACAGGTCTAAATTTGCAGCCCATGACTGGCAGTTGGTTGCCACTTAATATGAATGAAAAATTCCCGAAAGGGACGTTAAATAGCAATCGAAAAAACGCATTTCCACAGATGTACAGCCGTCGTTTAAAGAGTTATGATAACATATAAAGCACGGCTTACCTTTATGAAAAAAAGACCCCTTTTGAGTCTTCGTGCTTTTATATCCATTCACGCAAGATAAAACAAAATCATTCATAATAACTAAGTTACCTAATATTACAGATATTGTTCATACGAAGAGGATACTCTTGCATATCGAATAAACTGAGAGACATGTCCCCATATGCAAATGATAAGGGTATACTTCTACATAAGTAAGGGAATTTTGACGATGAAAAAGTTGTATCATAACGTTTATCATAACGTTTTATTGTTAGGTTACCATTAGTGCCTTTTTCTAGTAAAATATCCAAATATGAAACAAATTTGTAAGACGCTGTGGTATCTTTAAATTCAAGGTCACTGGGATATATCGAGTCGACATATTAATGGAAGTAGCTTTTGTTAATTGATAATATATCGTCGATATATCTAAATGTCGAGGTGAATATAACACAATCTAAAATGTGACAATGTTACATCTAAAGGTAAATAAACATGAATTGTGTTCTGGACACTGTAGTTCGGCCTAGGCAAACTAGCATTTCCTGAAGGTCATCCCAATCCTCTGTGTAAACTCCTAAAAATACGCGATCTTTCGTCATGCATTTTAACTTCTAGATCAAGAGGTCGGATTCGAATCTCGGCCGCGACTGACCTAAGTCGATAAAAAAAAATGGGTAGCAACTGTTCCTTCGCCATGCGCTCGATACTTTGAAGTGAAAGTTGCGGGTCCTTCGGATGAGACCTTAAAAACCGAGGCCCCGTGTCACGGCAGGCGTAGGCACATTAAAGATCCCTCACTGCTCAATGGCCCTGAGTGCCGAGTAAATGTCAAAACTTAAAGCCCTTCACCGGTATATGGTGACGTCTCTATATGAGTGATAAATTCTCGAATGGGACGTAAAACAACATACAATCAATCAATCAATACATTTTAACCCAGACCAATTTAAAAAATCAAAGCTTGAACCATTCATAAGAGAAAGATAAGAGGTGCAGTTTATGGGGTCTTTATGCAGGACCCTTTCTGGAATAACTTTACCGAGTATACGAAATGTTTATTTTTAAAGTATCCAGATGAAAAAACACTACTTTGTACGATTCGTTCTTTTTTATGATAAACGTGATGACTTTATCTTTTCAATCGTCAACTTTCCTTACTCATGCAGCAATATACCATTATCACCTGCATACGGGGTTAATATCTCCCAGTTGATTCGATGCGCAAGAGCATGCTCTACGTATAAACAATTTATATAACGGGTAAAGTTATTGACAAACAAAATAAAGAAACAAGAAATATCAACAGTATCTTTTAAAGACATCTTTTCGTACGTTCTTTTGTCGATACAATGACCTTGTCAGCAAATACAATCTATCATTAAGTCAAATGCTGACTGAAGTTTTTTCATACTAATTGTTAGACCATTATTTACACACTGAATTGTCGGCGGATTTTTCCGTTATTTTCCGATCATGACAAGGAGCACATGGCGGGTGTGACCGGTCGTCAGGGGATGCTCACTCCTCCATGGCACCTGATCCCACTTCTAATGTTATAGAGATCCGTGTTTGCTCTGCTCCTGATTACTATTGTTTGAATGGACTTCTGAGCTTGAATTCTGTTCGTTATCTCCATATATTTCATTCACTATATATATTTCATTGAAGGGTTGTGATTGTAACTTAAATTAGATGTCATTTTAAATTTTAGAAGTAGAATGAAAAACAAATAAGTATTATATCTTGCATTATATTCAGGTTTTCCAACGAAGAAAAAACGGGTACGTGAATTTCTACCGCAATTGGTTGGAGTATAAAAAAGGCTTTGGAAGTGTTAGGGGAGAGCACTGGCTAGGTATGGAAGTCAAAACTGAGATATTTTAAGAAAGATTTTAAATTGAACTTGAAAATGATTTTGTAGTACTGTTTGCTGTTGCATTCTAATGATTTGAAGGAAATGAAGCATTGCATGAAATAACCAGCCATGGATATTACGAGTTGAGGATAAATCTAAAAGACTTCAATGGTAACAAAAGATTCGCAAAGTACAGCCAAGTTCGGATTAGTAACGAAGCTCACGGATATCGATTGACGGTCTCTGGATATACAGGAAATGCAGGTTGTTTCAGGAGTTTCAGGAATTATGATTATTCGATAAATTTCCTTACCTAGTGTATTGCGTAAGAAGCATTCTAATCTTTTTTTCCGTTATGAAACTAGGGTTTTGGATAAAGTTACTGTACAATGTATTTGATTTTAATTACACTTTATTCTATATTTAATGAATTGCATACAGGACACTCTACATATAGCTGAAGCCAAGTTCCTTATATCTAGATTTGATAGCATTGATTTTTTTCATAAAGAGTAAACTTTTTAGGAGATTCCTTGGCGTACTCGCAAGGGGCCAGGTTTTCAACGTTTGACCGAGACCAAGACTATCACAGTGTTAACTGTGCTGAAATAAACAAGGGAGCTTGGTGGTATAAGGGCTGTTCTGATAGTCTTTTGAACAGTATTTATTACAGGAATCCAACAGGTCATGATCCCTGGCAGGGAATAATCTGGTATCACTGGAAAGGAGAAAAATACTCTCTCAAGTCAACAACCATGATGATAAGGAAGCACCAACAAACAAAATAAAAAAGAAGTTTAATTCTGTACCATATATCATGTTTTGGTCAATTTGGGTTAGAGCAGAACATTTTAACAAATGCCATTTTACGAGGACCGATTTGTCTCCTTCAAACGAGGGAATATTTGATATACTATGATACCTTTTCCTTGAGGTTCAAAGATCTTTCTGTTTGAATTTCATTTTGAAAAACGTTAGGAATAAAATTGCAATAACTTCTGCTTAAGGACATACGCAGTGTAGTATTGAGCTTTATTTATTTATCCCCTATATAATTTAAGAGTTTCATAATTGATGAACCTTTTTTGCGACTATTACAATGCCTACTGATGCTGTATACTTCTTCTTGGAGGAAATCTATACCAGCGGAAACTATATTTTATTGTTTTTTCTTCGAATAACACAAGGTTTTCATCATTTGATATTTCTACAATGTCTCTGGAAATGAATGTTGATTTTTAATGGACGTCTGAGGGTACTTTGACTTTAATTTAATATTATCTTGAAAAATTATCAGTAGCTAAGGTGCGTTTCATTAAGCTACATGTATATGTACGTTGTGTATTACTATTATTGTATAAAAAATGCGTGTATATTAAGATGTAAATTAAAAAATATTCAAAAAAAAAATGAAAGTTTTAAAAATGTGGATTAAACAAGGAAAACTTAAATTCATTGGCATAGTTTGTGCTTTACTTGTAATAGAATGTACAAAGATACTGAACAAATGTACAATATTATTCTATTTCTAAAAATCATTGTTAAGTTCTGCAAAGACATTAATTATTCCCTTCAAAAATATTTTCTATAAGATAATCTTATTTAAATACATTTGAAATCTAAAAACATATAATATTTTATTATAGTTACATTATTTATCAGCTTGCATCGTAAACAGTATATCTAATGTGTGCAACATCATTTATACCACAGAAATGTGTTTTTCAAAAGAAAAAAGCCATAAACTTTGATTTGATTATGTTTACTTTAACTCAGAAACTTCGATTTAAGTATATTATTCTGAATCGATGTTGAAAATCCTTGCTGCAATGAAAAATTGCTAATACAACAGGTGCAGGAAAGATAAAAAGGGAAAACAAAACAAGCAAACATCAATACATATGAAGATCAGGTTATTTACTCATTATCATCATTATGTATTTTTTCCTGTCTTTTCTAAGATATTTTCTTTTTATCAGTAAACTCAAATCTGCTAAACGACTTGGGAATTTAAAAATAAATAGAAAATATTTAAGAAAGACAATTCCCAAGCAATTATATGACTTATATGATAGTTGTCATTCTTTGAAATATACATTCTTTGAGTTTGTGATCTGATTGTAATGTCTTACGTCATGGCGTCAGACAGTAATAGATTTAGCCAAGGCTTGTTGGTCAAGTCGTTCAATAGAATTCTTGTGGTAACTCGATCTTGGAAACTTCATATAATACATGTATCTTAACTATCAACTGGAGAGCATGAGGATTAATGGACACATGCTAAACACCCAACAAGACCAGTGCATCGGATGTTAAAATAAATAATCTTTATGTCATTATTATCAAATATATATTCCTGGTTACATAAAATTAATTTGACATTCTTCAATGCATCATTCATGTCCAGCAAAACAGCAGGAATGAAGCTGGTCAAGTCAACACTCTCCGAATATCCTTGTCAGATATGGATGTTCAGTTTCAAAGCATACTAAGTCTCTCTACCTTCAGAATTTAAGTATATACATATTGATAAAGTGCAGATGTTTAATTCATAGCTATAGTGAAAAAATCTAAGTGAAAGGAAAATGATAAATATTTTTTTCGCTTAAGTGTTGCAAGATTATTTTCAAAACAATTCATAATCATCCAAACTTTTGAAACAATTGATGTGTAGATCTTAATATCTAATGACTTTTCTTTTTCAAAAGCACAGGTTAGATCCTTGTTAAAAACAGGTCCGTAGAAATTAACTTTACTTGGGGTTGGGGACGGGAACCAAATGTTTTCAATTTGGGAGCATTATCAAGAAAAAAAATTAACAAGCAAAACAAGAGTCATCTTTTTTCTTTTGAAATCTCCTTTTCAAGAACAGCAAATCCATGATTAGCAATCTTAATATGGAATTATTCTCAGGTAGTATAAGTTCAAGTTTGTTCAAATTATGGCCCACGCGAGCTAGAGTTGGGTCAGAACAGGGCATCAAAGTTATACATCAGAATATTAGAAAATATCTTTAATAATCTTCTTCTCAAGAACTGCAAAACCATGATAACTCATATTAATACTGAAGCATCCTCAGTTATTTTAGATTATGTTGTTTTCATCATGACCCCCTTGGTTAAGGTGGGTCACATTAAGCAATCAAACTATTGCCTGGTATATGTAATATACAGAAAAAAAATTCAAAAATCTTCTCAAGAATAGCAAAGCCAAGTTTAGTCATATCAATATAAACAGGTTTATTCAAATTATCACACCCGGGGGTAGGTTTGGACCACTTATATATTTAAATTTTTCAGTACCTAACTAATTTCTGCATTTTTCTGTCAGAAATTCTAAGATGAGCGATGTGGCTATGGGCCGCTCGTTTTATAATGATGACACTAGACACTTGAACTTTTCTTGATTTTTCGTAAAAGAATTTTTTCTGGACTCAGACTAATGATAATTTCGCTGGATTCATTTTTTTCCCTGATTCCTCTCAAAATGATAAATTTGCTCACGTCAGACAAGCTTTTAGGGAAAGCTAATACTTGTTTTTGTTTTGTTTTTGTTTTATCCACAGTCTAAATGGCTTATACATTTGCAAGGCATGTTGAACGAATATACATATCAATCAAAAATTAAACATCTCCCTCTCTCTCTCTCTCTCTCTCTCTCTCTCTCTCTCTCTCTTGAGATAACAAGTAGATAGACCTAATGGAAAATAATAGATCTCCTGCAATTTGTAGTCTTTTTAAGTAAAATCAGAACTAATTTAGGGGACTTTCACTGTCATATATCCGTACATTAATAGGAGGATTTAAGATCTACAGAGAGTACACTACACTTTTTCAAGTGAAGCTAACATAAACTAAGAATGCCAGAGGAACGAATTATTTTTTTTTTATTTTATTTTTATTTATTATTTATTATTATTTTTTTATTTTTATTTCAAGGAAAATAATAAGAAAAATAGTTACAGCAAATCAAAGAGTAAATAACTAGTTAAATATAATAATTCATGCTTTTCTTTTTATACTTTTCTCACTCAAGGGACTATGGCAAATAAAAAGGTATAAAATTATTTTAGAAAAACAATTAAATTAGAAAAGAGATAGAGATTCAACTTAATATAAGCCAAACTGACTCTCTAACAGAATGCACATTTTTTGTCAATCAACTTAAATGTACTTCTATTCCGAACCCCTCTAAGCTTAAATGAATTTCATATAGAGACAGACTGCCAACAGTCTAACAACTCAGAAAGTATGCGACTTCTTATCACGACTGTAAAATAGTTTACCAAGGAAGTTAAAACTCATACCTTAATGGGAAGTCAAACAAAACCTACACAAAATCTATGAAAATCATAAGCAAATAAGAACCGATGGGGTAGGAAAAATAGACGTTTATGACGCCATAGTATTATTGAGCCAAATTGTGATGCCGCACTATGCAAAAATATCCGATGGTTTTTTTGTTTTTTTTGTTTTTGTTTTTGTTTTTTTTTTAATAAATACAAATAAATATTTAATGCGAGGCTGACCCTAATTATAATTTCTTGGATAAACGTAAGATTAAACCCGAATTGGTCGAAAAGTGTTGCACTGTAGAAATCTACGGTGTTTGCGAGACTAAACCTTATCAATGGAGTAGTGTGCAAGAGCTAACCCTAAATCTCTCGGATGGGTGCAAAGCCATCCCATGCTTAGTCCAATAGTGTCTAACCCTTATTAGTCGAGTGGTAAGCAAGCACAAACCTTAATATCTCAGGTGGGTGCTAGCTATAAGCAAAATCAGTCTAACAGAATGCAAAAACTAATTCTGAATTGTTTGCAAGACGTTAGATTGCTAAAGAACGGCGTAAAGGATAGACGTTGGATTATTGTGAAGTTATAAACGCGTTGATTGATTTTCCGCAACATCGGACTTTGGTGTCCGTATAGACATCAAACCATTGTTGGTTGGCACAGTTTATCGGACTTTGGTGTGGAGGTACATTGATGACATTTTTGGAATCTGGACAGGGACAGAAGATGAACTACACAACTTTCATGCAACTGCATAGCATATACACCCCAACATTCAACTCGACTTACGTGATTCAAAGATATAAAGATTTCTTGCTGTGTCAATTTCTTTTAAAGACGGATTTCTCTAACCGACCTGTGCAGCAAACCTACCGACAAACATATGTATCCCTACAAAACATCCAGATATTCCAAATCTTAAAAAAGCGAAATTCCGTTGTCTTTGGCCTACGAGCACGCCGAATATGAAATTAATAAATATTTCATAACAATACCTACTACCTCACAAAAATCTATCATTTCAAAACTCAGTCAGTGAGGAAATGTTATAAACCAGTCTTAATTAACTGACTTTATATGTAGATATTTCCAATTAATTTCATCTTAAAATTTTACCCCCTTACCCATCTATTAGATTAAACTGTCTGAATCATAAAATAAACAATATATACATAATTATTTATGATTTATTTATTTAATCTATTTGATATTTTAAAAGAAAAAAATAAAAATCGATCTCATTCGAAATTCGGATTGAGCTGGTTTTAAATGATAATGAATATACCCAGAGTGTTATTGCTATTCTAGGGTGCCATTTTACTCATGGTTTTACAAGAATTGATGACAGTTAATTCCAAGTTCCAGACATGTGGAGCCCATGACTGCCTTTTATTTTTGAAAATGACCTTGCTCATATGCGTAAGAGAGATAAAGGTGCAAAAAATACCCAGGAATAATATTCCAATATTATTTTAAACCTAACCTAACAAAATGGCATA